AAATACTTTCGCTGGTACGCAAGATGTAAAAAAGCTATAGACCTCCTATGAAGAGCAGAGCACAATGTTAAGTTGGCAAGTTCCACCAGTATATGGAGAAGCCACTATGTTCTGTTTAAAGTATGTAGATACTACTTGTAAGTAAACAGACCTGCTTGCAGAGGAGGTATCCGTACAATATTGTAGGCCAATGAAAAATTCTTTCCAAAGCAGTTCCCAATATTGTAAACTGTCCCATCATTTTCAATATGGGGGTGTGCTGTGACTCCATTGACAGAAACATATTTGCTGACATCCACCTGGAGAACATAACAAAGGGGTGACTTGTTTGAGAAAAACCTATATGTTCTCAGGAGCAATTGCATATCATACACAGCATGTGTTCAAAGGGGATATTTAATTTTATCACACATGCATGTCCATGTCCATGTGCATGCTTATCCTGAGTGCTTATCCTTACATAGCCATAATTGCAGCACTCATGCACAAGAGGCTTGGTGTGTGTGGAATGAAATACCCTTAGGTTTTTTTTTAGAAAAAGTGAGGGGAAATAAAGTCTAGCTGAACTGACTGCTTCTTAGCTCCTGCTGACTTTTCACCAGGGTTCAGTTTAAAAGTTGTTCTGTCACCTTTCAGCCCATCCTTTTTGTACTGTTTGTCCTTATCCACAAAATGTTCCCCAGTGCCAAGTTAAGCCGAACTGCCTATGCAACTATTTCATCCATGCATTGGAATTCCTGAGTTCTGCTTGTCTAGCTGGCCCTGTGTATGGAACAAGCAGCATTTCAGACAAAGCGGCCTTAGTGGGCCTGCATTTCAACCTTAGTTTCCGAGACCGTATGCCCATGCTCCCCCATGCTATAGGTGTACCAGTAATTCTACACCAGCATTACCCACAAAGCTATCTAGAAGATATTTGATATCCACAAAATTTATACCAGGCAGGCAATTCATCAAATGGTTTACATGCCTCTGAACGTTTTGTTGCAGAACCTACTTGTTCTACTCAGAAATGCAAAACGAGAGCCTGATATAACTCATTTACCAGTCTTGAAAGTAAAGAATGGTAGGCATTGCTTGATTCCAAACAATATTAGGTACATATCAGTAGATTTATATTGAAAAACTATCTTCACTGATTTCAATGCTGCTATTTTCAATCCATTTTAACTCACAATGATAAACTGGATTAACCTTCTAGATAACTCTGGTCAAAGAGCAGCAATTCATCCAGAGATGAGGACATCCAACCCATATCTTACAGTGGTGCTATCTACTATGATACTGTTTTTTGTAAGCCATCCAGAGACTGGTACTGGATGGCATATAAAAATTTTAAATAAATGCATGCATACATGCAACTTTACAAACATACATGCATAATAGAAAAGCACTTGCACACATACAAAAATGTGGAAAAGCTCTGTGATACTGGGCTGTGTACTGACAGGACAATGAAAAAATATGCTTGCTTAGTGAAAAATGTTTGAAAAAACTAACAGTAGACAGAAGTATTTTTGTTATTCCTCAAAGAATTACTGCAAAAGGGGGGGGGGGAGAGAAAGAAATTAACATCCAGTTCTCTCAAACTGGTGATTTAAAACTCTGCTTAGGACTGGATTGGCATGTAAGAAAAGAACACAAGGAATGTATGTACATTGAGAGTAACAGAAGCTGGATGGCCATTGTTCAAAGCTGCTGTACCTGCATCTTCCTTTGCAGATCTTGCATTGAAAGGAGGGCTGTACCAAACAATCTCCAGTGCTTTCTAACACTGTAATTCTGTCTTTCTTTTTGTTACAAATACATACTTCCCACTAGCTTTTCAATGTGCCCTTACAACCAAATAAGCACACTGCATATAGCACATTATTATGTAGTTTTCCAGATAAGAAAATGATCTCCCCTGGTATGAAGAATGTTGTATGTGAAAAGGTTCTAAATATTTCTGGTTCCAATATCTTAACGACAACATTCTGATACCAGCTATGAGAAAGTTTGTCTGTTAGTACCAGCTGTGAAAGCAAACTTTGTGAAGATACTAGTCTCTCTAGTTCTTGCTGAAGCTCAGCATCAATAAAAAGTACTTGACTGTGATATTTGACCATGCCATAAATGCTGTTTTGATTGCCCCCACAGTGCTAGTTCCCAGAAGAATGCCATCTGAATGACATTTGGTTCAACCATAAGCACCAAAAGTTTCTCTCATGACCCAGTGAATGCAGACTAGCAGCTGAGTGACATTCAGATTTGGAGGTGCATCTGGGATGTAGGTTGTGATGCAGGGATTCATTCTGAATTTTAGCTGCTTTTCATGATAGTTCCCATAGCCATGACCCCAAGAAGAGTGTGAAAGTGTGAGTATGGGTGAACACCTTTATATCTTCCAAAGGTCTTTTGTAGAACTAATAGGTCTTAACTGCCCATTCAGAACTAGGCCACCCCATAATACTTTGCATTACAATGATGGTTCATAGCATTCATGTGATTATGCATTTTCTGCAGCTAGGCTAAGGGTGGGGATAGGAATTCTGAGTTGGTGCTAATCAAAAAGTATTCAATCTTGCATGCACTGGTTCTACTACACCATTGTTTTGTACCACCATGGACCTGATATCCAGGCAAGTTCCTGTCTATTCAAACTTTCTTATATCTCATTATGTATTGTTGGGAAAATTTGGATAAATCCTGTCAGAAAAACATTGCTTCTGTGTGCTTTTGCATTGTGGAATCAATCCTGTACTCCTTCTCAAACCAAGCTAAGTCACTGTTTAAAATGGCATTCCTCCCCCGCTCCTTTCTCTCACCTTTAGCTGTAAGCTACAGTAGACAGGACATTTAGTCAAAATATACATTGTATACCTTCACAATTATTAAATAATCCTTGTTGGAATTCACAGTTTACCAGGAAGTATCTTTTGCTAGCCCAGAGGGCTCCATGTGCCCTGGCCATTCAGAACAGTGTGAATGCATTACTTAGGGTCTGAGTCTAGATGAGCTTATGAGTTCATGAATAGTTTCTCAGTA